AACCTACTTTTTGTCTCACGGCTTTATTATCTTTACTCTGCACGGCCATGCTGCTTCCTTTACATCTGGCTGTTGACTTCCCTTTTCTTCTTCCCAGAGCTCGCTCTGTCCCCAGAAGTCCCACCTAACCTCTTTCCCTGCCTAGCTATTGGCAATTCAGCTCTTTATTAAACCAATCAGAAGGTGCTTTGGCAAAGACATATCTTCACAGTGTACAAAAAGATGATTCCACAACACACCACAAAAAGGAAGGAAGGAAGGAAGGAAGGAAGGAAGGAAGGAAGGAAGGAAGGAAGGAAGGAAGGAAGGAAGGAAAAAAAAAGAGGCTGAACAACAAACATTAGCTTTCAAAATTACTAAAAGATTTTCCTATAATTACCTTCACCAACAAATGGTAACTGAGCATATAATTCAGATTAATACATTGTGTAGTAGTACAGTAGGGCACAGATAGCAAATGTGATTTTAACCCACACCCACACAGGACCTCCTACTACACTACAAGTTTGCATTTTAACATCAACACATACTGGTAGATTGCCCACAGCAAAATCTGTGCACAGTAAAATATCAAAACAAAAGGAAACAAAATAATGAACATCAGAGTGAAAATACAGTGAGCCAATCTTAGAAAGACAAGACAAGCAACATCAGAGGAAAAAAAAAAAAAAAAAAAAAACACTATGGGAGAAAAGACAGGAAATCCTGTAACAGCAGATGAAAGAGCTAGAAACTTCACTGTAGCCACAAACGCATGGCCTTTTAGACATCACTGCCTCTCATTCTGTCTTCAACAGGCAAGTTTTTGGTTTCCAATTCCAAAACCTAGATGCAGACAATTAGAGATGCATGATAGTCGCTTAAAATGTCCACAGGCTCCCACGGCTTAAGTAGATGACCCAGCACTCTCCTGCCTTGCTCTTTGCTGAGCTGCACTGCTGATGGGAGCCAGTCACCTGGATCACTTAACGGCAGGACACAGAAACACACATCTCCAGATAAGAGGACGATATTCTGACATGATGTCTTACCAAGATAAAAGCATTAGCGTCAACTCTGTCTTGGTGACGGGGCTGCTGGCTTAATCTTGTAGCTCCACTTTATTGTGACCTACTTTGAAATTATAAAGGAATATATCCAGATCAAATTAAGCCAATGTAAAGACAGTAATAAAAAATATTAGCGATGTGGACAAAAGACAGCTGGAGAGATTGTCACTTACGTCTGCTACACTCCAAAAAGGCTTCGGGGAGGGAAGACTACGATTTCCTCAAAAAGATAGAGGAACAAAGGCAAAATAAAGGACGGAAATTTGGGAACTTTAAGAAAAAAATGTTATTGTCAAGATTTTATATGAGATTCTATAGAACTATATGAAAGCCGTGGTTAAAAAAAAAAATAGCATTGATGATTAAACAAATTCTAAGCCAGGTGGTGGTAGCACTAGCTAGGCATTCGTGGTGCACACCTTAATCTCAGCACTTGGGAGGCAGATGCAGGTAGATCTCTGAGTTCAAGGCCAGCCTGGTCTACAAAGTAAGTTCTACAACAGCCAGGGCGACACAGAGAAACCTGTCTCAAGAAAACCAAAACAACAACAACAAAAATTCTAAGGACTACTATGACATACATGTTCTTGCACTGGCCAATAATCTTTTTGTACCTCTACTTTGGATTAACATATTTGATCTTTAAAAAGTAAAGAAGTACTGGCTCAGAGGGGAAATGCCTACTGTGTAAGTATCAGGACCTGAGTTCAACCCCAAAACCCAAGTAGAAGACAAGCACAATAACATGTTTGTAGCCCTGACACTGTCCAGGTTAGCTAATTCAGAGAGTTTCAAGAACAGTGAGCAACTCTGTCTCAAACACACAGTGGAGGACCAGCAAGGTGACTCTGTGGCTTTGTAAAGGGCCTTGCCACCAAGCCTAACAACTTGAGTTCATCCCTGAGACCACATGGTAGAAACAAATGACACTTGCAAGTTGTCCTTTGACCTCTACCCACTTTGTGTATATGCACATGTGGACACACACAATAAACAAACAAATAATTTTAGTTTTTTAATGTTTCTAACTGAAATAGAATTATATCACTTTCCCTCCTCCCTCTACTTCCTCCAGCTACTCCTGGCTACCTTCCCTCAAATCTGCCTCATCCCCCCACTCTGAAGTTGGTAGCCTTTTTCTTTTATTGTTTTACATACAAACACAAACACACACACACACACACACACACACACACACACACACACACACACAACTTGCCAAGTCCATTTTTCAGTTTGTGTGTATGTGGTTTCACAGATAGCCAGCTGCTATGGAGGAGACTCATGCAGAAGAGAGGCTAATTCTCCTTCTCCCAGAAGTCAACAGGTGACTCCATCTACTGTCTACAGGTGGGACCGCAAAGATATCTCTATATTATAGTTCCTGCATCTATGGCACAAGGAACATCCCGGAAGAGAGGGGAGAAATATTTTTTTTGTTTTGTTTTGTTTCGTTTTTCGAGACAGGGTTTCTCTGTGTAGCTTTGCGCCTTTCCTGGAACTCACTTGGTAGCCCAGGCTGGCCTCCAACTCACAGAGATCCGCCTGCCTCTGCCTCCCGAGTGCTGGGATTAAAGGCGTGCGCCACCACCACCCGGCCAAGAGGGGAGAGATATTTTAAAAGTCAGAATATCAAGAAATCTGTTGTGAAACAGTCTCCCCCCCACCCCGAAATGGATGCATAAACAAGACTAGAAGAGTAGCAAGATCGTCAGACATGATAATGTGAGAGGGAGGGATTTTAAAACTATAGACACAGTTTTTAAAAGTACAAAAAATAAGATGGAGAAACTGTGGGACAGAAAACACACCCAAGGTTGACTTCTGGCATGAACACAAACACACACACACACACATACACACACACACACACCACCAAAAATACATTCACAAACATATAAATAGGTACATACACCAAACACGGGTACACGCACAGAACACACAAGCAACCAAAGGAGATTAATTCCTATTCGGTTATAAAGTACATAAGGTAACAATAGCCCAACATCCCAAATTAGCTAACATTTTTTTAAAACACCCGAACACTAAATGGAATTTGACTATATTTCAGAGGTAGTCTCAACTGTCAGCAGCTACACCTCAGTAACCTATAACCTCTATTTCTCACAGAGCCAAGACTAGACATCACTTTGAGAACAGAACCACAGGGTATGACAAACACGGTGTAATCAGAAGTACTGCTAAATCCAAGACAACTGAGAGAAACTTGATTCATTTTATTGTTAAAGGTTAAGAAAAATCTTAAAATCCCAGCACTTAGAGTGCTGAGGCAGGAGTTTGAAGCCAACCTGGGCTATGCAGTGAATCTAAGGCCACTCTGGCCTACAAAGACAGACCATGTCTCAAAAGGAGGGGGTGGATGGAGGAGCAGAGAAGCAGGGAGCTGTATGTAAAACTATTTTTCCTGGAAATGAATGCTGCCTCTTTGCAATGTCTTCTTAAAGGTAATGGGGGAGGGGGGGGCCACACCACACAACATGACAATGTTTCCAGAGTGCCTGAAATGCAACTGACAATGAGCGATACTGGGTATGAGAACGTAGTAAGCCTCTCTCCAATGCTTTGCAAACCAAACCCTAACACAACCAGTCCTAACCTATATGAAAATCACTCCCATGGATGATGACTAAGTTAGAAACAGAGAATCAGGCTCCTTGAGACCACAGTTACGCTACTATAAACCATTTTTTAATGCCCATGGACTTCAAGACTTCCCCCACCACCATCCAATTTTTAAGAAAAACAAAAACGGAGAAACTAGGGAGAAAGGGAAGAAGGGAACAAAGAACAAGCCCTGGCTAAAACTACAGCAGTTTTTGTTAATTTTTTTTTTTACCTTTGAAATTTGCTGTTTTGCTTTGGCTTTTCTTAACTTCTGTCAAACAATCTATTTTGGCATTTTCATCAGCAGGGCCAGGGGCCACACTGACACCCGTGAAGCAAATTTCACAAGTCATATTGTTGCACTAGAGCTATTTCTGGGATTTATTAAACATCTAGGAAGCTGAAGAAAGAGCATGCCAATATTTCTTTATCTTTACTGTCTCTATGATCTAAATCTTGAATGAAATCTAAAAGGTATTTTTAGTGCCTGCTGACAGATAAAAGAGAAACTCAGGCTGAAGAAGTGTTCAGTACTTCCTTTGGGTTACACAAAGTCAGGAGCTGTGAGCATCAATTTTCTACCTATCATTATAATTATGGAAACTCTTCAAATGCGGCAACTTATTAGAAGACAACTGCACTAATAAACAGATGCAGGGGGAGAGCTGATACATATCTATTTCCAAATATGCCAACTATGTTTGATCTAATTTGCATAATTAGAATTAGAATTAAGTTATTTCCTTTCATGAGGTCCTTTTCTTTGATTTTTAATATATTCTGATAATTACCTCATCTAAGCTAGATAAAAGACACACAGGAAATGGCAGCTGCCTGCTTTTGCTTCATTCACGGGTTACCACATATTCATGAGCACCCCACAACTCCAGTTCCTGGAGGCATCACAGCACTACCTCAGGCGAACAGCTATAGATATGGGAACCTGAAGTGTTCCAAAGAAGAGACATCACCGGGTTCTTTTCACTCTGCCATCGGGCACATTCTTCCCCAAAATAAATCACTGCTATCTCAGAGAAGAAAACCCTTCCAGCATGCAGGACCAAAAGTTAACTTCAAGGTTAAGAAGAGAAAAGGCTTTCACTATGAAATAATGAAGAAAACTAAAAAAGACTTCATTTTGGAATCCCCAAAGAAAATATAAACTCTAAGGAGGTGCTGTATAGGAGTCAAGTAGTTGTTAGCTTCATTTTATATCATTTACCTCCAAAAGTAGCTCTCAAAATTATACAACTTTGGATTAAATTTCCTTAAGCAATTCCAGTAAATAAAACTGTCTTCCAAATGTAGATTAAAGATGGACGTCACCTCTACTTGGGCCACCAAACTGGCTTTCTCCTTGTCCTTCCGTTCCATGCACCGCTTCACCTCCTCTAACTCGGAAGCCATGGCGTTGAAGTTCAGGTGCACCCGCAGTTCCGCCATCTGCCTCTCCAGACTCTGTTTCTCCCGCTCTACCCCTTAAGAGGCAAATGTAAAGCTCTTTGGTTACTCTTTATTCACAGGAGAGTCTACTGTCCAACAGTTACTATTAAGCCTTTGGGTCTTAATGTACTAGCTAACATAATCCACTCATCAGGCATTGCAGATTTCTCCAATCTGCCATCTCAGGTCTCATGGTTCCCACACATGCATGAGCACCCTGCTAATCAGCTAAATTCAAAGTACAGTATCAGTCTAAATCAAGCACAGCATCAAGTCTTAAATACTTCTCAAAACTACACAGGCAGCTATGCCATCATATTTTATGACATAGTGATATTTTCAGTGTTTCCTAATTTCTAATACAATTTATTTCAGAAAACTCCTATACCTTTTATTCACTACATTCCTTGTGTGGCTACATTATTTGCAAACTTTAAAGCAAAAACACTGAATTAAACCAGGCTACTATATGCTGATGCTACTGAGGCTTACACAGTGAAATGTTGTTCTTACATATAAACAACAAATGATTCTCCTCAATCTCTGTAAGACTGACTGCTGGTTCACTAATTCTCCCTAATCCTGAAGGCTATACCCTAAATTATAACACTAAACAATATACATTAATTATTTAATTCAACACTAAATGCTTGGTCATTGAGACATAGGACATTTTATCATTTTCTTCACATATGAAGATGGACAACATAAAAACCCACTGACAATGAGCTTGCATTATAAGAATGGAAAAACACAAAAAATGCTTCCTTTACTCTAAAATATTAGCAATTAGAATATATATTAACAATTCAACACTGTTTTCCCAATAATTTTCTTTCTAGAAAAGGAGTGAAGTAAATATGACCAAATCAAATCTGTAGATAATTTACAAATTACATTCCAACTTGAGAAACAGTAAAGGTCTCAAAACCACACACTGAAAGGGAAGGCATACAGGTTCTTCAATAGCATAAGAACAGCCTGACCGATGACAATTTAAAAAAACACAGTGAGAATGGGGAACTAAAGCTATACTTACACAATACATACAGATTTCACTAAACTAAGAGAGATGGCATTGGAGTGTTACCCTGGATAACGAAGCATCATAGAGTCCAGCTTGCAACAGGATTTAATATTCAGGTAGCTTCATACTGAATAATTAACAAATACAAGGACAGGAAGAGACAGAGGCAGCAGGAAGCTCACATATGGGCAGGGACTGGGACCTTCAATTTTCCCAAAAACTAAGGGATAGCAAGATTTAATCTTGCAGGTTAGATAACAAGTATTTGAATGAGCCAGGTAGTCATACACATCAGTTAATTCCAGTTCTCAAGAGGCTAAGCCAGGAGGATCACAGGTTCAAGACTAGCCTGCCCTCCATAGACACATGTTTTCATAAATTTTATAAATATACTATAAATAAGTATATGTAGGATACTATACATATATATAACAAGCCTCAGGAATATAATTATATAATTTTTTTCATGAAACATATAACATTAGTGTGGCTACCTACAAGAACATATAGTAGGAAGTATACAATACAACATATTATATAAAATACATAGGCATAAATGTATATATAAATAAAACTTCATAAAATATGTATATATTTGGAACAGATACACACCAAATGTTTTATAACATTTTTAAACACATAAAATACCAATGTGGATAAATATACATATGTATATATACAAGTTTCTTGTATAATAAAATATTTCACAAAATTCAAATATTTAAACATTAACAATAAAATAGAAGAAAAATTATGCTCTCCTTACAAATCCAGAGGATAGTTACCTACACTCTGTCAGGGATGATGCTCATATCATTATGGGACAGTAATTAGAAACTCAAGTTTGTGGAAGCAGATTAACATCTACCTATGGTTTGAATGGTCCTTCAAAAACTCATGCTGAAGCCTGCTACTGCAATGCCATCAAGATGAAGAACTTTCAAGACCTGCCTACCTCCTAAGAGTTCCACTCTTCTGGATGGGTTAATGCCGTGCTAGGGAGTGTTAGCCATCGGGAGTATGACTTTGTTATGAACGGTTTTGCTAGTTGCCTCTCCCAAATGAACATTGTCATGTTGACTCTATGTTCATTCTCACTCATAGCTCTCTCTTCTCTCTCCCCTTCTTCCCAGCACACACTGGACATGCTGTCTGGCCTTTGCCTCTCCATCTAGGCAGTCTTTTCTCATCACGTAATGCCATCCACTGTGTTTTTATACAGTGAGGCTGTCACCACACGTAGCCCTTGCATCTGAACTTCCCAGCTGCCAAATCTGTGAGAAATGCATTTATTTTCTTTAATCACTGAAGTGATCCATACCTTTCTCCCTAGAATAGTCCCACGAGTAAGGGAGATAATGTAGAGGGAGTAAGCAATACTTCTTATCTGGTAAGAATCCTACACACTTTAGTGAGAGGTTGTAGTGAAGTTATGAAAACAAACAGCTATTGTCTTAGAAGGGTGCCCTGCGTAGCAGTATAGGAGACAGGCTTAGGGGAGCCAGAGCCCAGCAAGGCAAGTTAAAATGGAAGGACAAGTGAGCTGACACATGTCAAAGCTGGGGTGATGGAATAAGGAAAAAAGAGTTGACAGATCTGAGAGCTACCAGAAGCCATGACTGACAAGTGCCTGTAATCCCAGGAGCCAGCAAATACAGCAGGTGATCCCCACTGCAAGGCTGGCCTGACCTAGCGAGTAAAATCTTGTCTCACAATACAGAAGAAAAGAAGAGAGATGCAGACAGATACATAACAGGAGGTACGGACCAATTAATGAGTGGAGAAAAAAAAATAATTCCAGATGTTCCTTTGTGTTGTAGGCTGAAGTATCTAGATTGGGGAATGAAACCATTAATCAGGATAGGAAGGAGAAAAGGGGTCTAATTTTGCTTTTTTACTTAGAAAACATTTCATTTCAGCAAGAACTTATTTATACTGTACAATACCATGTACAAATGAAGAAAAATTTAATGTTTCCAGATCATTATGGCTGTCAGTTTCTTTACAAAGCCAACTCAACAATGTAAAATGGGAAACTTCCTTCCAAAACTAGCAACACAGTTTCCACAATTCAAACATTTTAGGTACATGAATACATGAAGACCAGTAATATATGTTATGTGTCAAAGAGCAACAACAGTTTTTCCAGTTTTTTTCAGCTGTTGATACAAAATTATTGAGAATTCTAGAAAAAAGAAAAAAAAAGGAAGAAGGGTAAAATGTAAAACCCCAGGAAATAGCAAACTTCTCTTACTCTAGTGGTTACCTGGCACCAGTTTGTTTTATTAGTTTTTCAATCATCACCGAGAGAGAAAGCATTCTATAGTAGCATCATTAAAACCAGACAAGGCACGGTCAATACTATGTCACAAGGCAGGAACAAGACACTTCACATCCACAGAGGTATGGAAAGCGCTGTCATACACCTACATAATCCTGGAGGACAGAATTCCAAAGGCATTAGAAAAACATGCTTTGAAGAGAGGATGGAACGGTTGTAAATCTGCTGACTGCACAGTCTGTGGATGAGCACATGTAAAAACAACCAGCAACTCCATCTGCTCGGCTGAAGTCCAGAGATTGAGTAGAAGCAGACTCAGGACTGGTGCTAGCAGGTGAGAGCTAAAGCATAGGATTTAAATAGCTTCTCCGGAGAAATACTAAATATGAAAAGCCATCAAGAGGACACTAAGCAAAACCAACCTCTGAACACGGGACGTGAACAAAGGAACAGATAAGGCAGAAGAAGAACTAGGAAGGTTCGGGGCATGGATGTCCGTGGAAGAGCTTTAAGAACCAGAAACAGGCAAATGAGCTAAGTAATGAAGATGCCTCTGCACTGGACTGTGATCACTATTGAAGCACGCTGAGACTGGATTCCACTCTCCCATCTCCAGATAACAGGCTCCGAATATTAATGGTTCACATATTACAAATTAGGGGGGAAAAGAAAAGATAAAATAAAGGCACGTTTACAACTTAATTACAAAAGCACCCAGGCAAGGAGAAGAGAGAAAGTGAAAACTTCACCACAACCTGGGGGATGTTCTTTCGTAGACAATGCCCATGAGACAAGCAGGTTTGACAAGAGAAATAGGTTGAGAAATCAAGCAGAAGAGACATCCAAATCAGACTCTAGAATATGGCCAACTTGTTTGAAAACCTCATGGATGATTAAGAAATTTGGAAAGATTAATGAGGCATGACAGGAGTGCACCTCTGGGGATGAGAAGCCACACATCCAGCATCCAGAACTGTACCTCTTCTAAACCTCCAGTCATCTCGTTGATCATCCTGGGAGCTCGGCTGCTGCTTGGCTACTTGGTGTTGTAAACCCTTCCGGTCCCCTTCAGCTTTCGTAAGCTGAGTACGCAATTCTTCCACCTAAAAACATGAAGTCAAAAATCAAACTGTTACCAAGTTCAAAAGCAAAAAGCAAATAGACTTACAGATTATTACAAACTGTTTCCTGGGGAAAATGTCTGTTTCTAATGGGCTACTGTGGTCCATATAAAGCCAGCTTAATCCCCAGGCTGTCCCACACACAGCAGAAAAGGCTTCTATTCCATGCTTTCCATCTACCATTCCTTTCACGAGAGGTGTCTTTTCCTTCCCTGTGTCCACGGTGACAAACAACCTTAACACCTCTTACTTTTTCCTTTGTAGTTCTAGGAATTTAATCCAAAACCTTTATTTTTTTTATCATAATGTCTCTATTTCCAAATGATTATAACCATCTAGTTGTATCCACTGTCTGAGATAATTATTAAGTAGCTCCCAGGTTCAACATTGTTGTGTATCTTGCAGTAAGACCCAGGAAGCCTCACAGAGAAAATCTGAGTTATGCAAATAGGAAGGTTACCATAGGATATTTGCACAAGTTGCTCACAAAATGAATGAGTACCTTACTTTCTTTTACATCCTTGGACTTTACCACTCTCTAACCTAAAGCAAGGATGATATGTCTACCTCAAGACCCAGCTATACCACTCTTGGGCATATATCCAAAGGATGTTCAACCATACCACAAGGACACTTGCTCAACTATGTTCATAGCAGCATTATTTGTAATAGCCAGAACCTGGAAACACCCTAAATGTCCCTCAACTGAGGAAGGGATAAAGAAAATGTGGTACATTTACACAATGGAGTATTATTCATCTGTTAAAAACAAGGACATCAGGAAATTTGCAGGCAAATGGATGAAACTAGAAAAAAAAAATCACCCTGAGTGAGGTAACCCAGACCCAGAAAGACAAACATGGTATGTACTCACTCCTAAGTGGATAGTAAATGAAAAGTAAAGGATAACCATGCTACATCCCACAGACCCAGAGAGGCTAGGAAACAAGGAGGACCCAAGGGAGGAATGCATGGATCTCCCAGGGAAGGGGAAATAGAAGAGATCTCCTGGTTGGACTGGGAGCAGATGGGCGTGGGAACTTGAGGGATAGGTTTGGGAGGTGAGGAGAGTGCTAACAATGATGTCTGGAAAGGGGGGCTTTATGGAGTTGGGTAGAAGCCTGATGCAAGGGCAACTTCAATGAATTCCAGAACCTTTTAAAGGCGGGCAAGTGTGCTACCACCAAGCAACATCCTAATCATGGTGGTATGAATAAGAATGCCCCCCACAGGATCATCTATTTGAATGCTTAGGGAGTGGCATTAGGAAGCATGGCCTTGGAGTAGATGTGGCCCTGTTAGAAGAAGTGTGTCAATAGGGGTGGCTGGGCTTTGGGGTTTAAAAAGCTTAAGGCAAGCCCAGTGTCTCTCTCTTTGTGCTGCCTTCTGACCTGCATGTAGAACTCTGGGCCATTTCTCCAGCACCATGTCTGCCTGCATGCTGCAATGCTTCCCTCTATGACAAGGGGCTAAACCTCTGAAAATTGAAACAAGCCCCAATTAAATGCTTCCCTTTATAAGAATTGCCATGGCCATGGTGTCTCTCCACAGCAACAGAACAGTGACTAACACACTAATCTAACTACATTTTAATTTCTTAAACTGTTTTTCTTACATATCCCAGGTTAGCTTCTTGCAGCAATCCTCCTGCCTCAGAGTCCTGAGTTCTAAGATTACAAGCGTGTGCTATCATGTCTGGTTCAAATACATCTGTATTTGACCTCATTACTGCTCATCACCTCTAATTTATTTTCTTAATCTTTATCTGTTTTCTATCATGAAAACATGCTATGCTGGTAATTAAACTCAAATGAAGGGATCATGACTTAGCATATTATATCAAAATAGACCTCAGAAAATCCGTAGACCCCTGACATGTAAGCTTCTGAAGTTAGGAAATGCCTTATTCATCTTGATATGTATACAAAGAGATTGGCCAATTTTGTACCACATAACAAATACATCCCCAAAAACCAAAATCAAGTAAGCAAAGCTAAAACAACATGGCCAAAATCATAATGACAACCTGCAAAGAAATCTCTTGCATCAAAAACTGAAAAAAGATTACAAATAGGCACTTAATATAAGAAATCAGCATAGAATTAAATACCAACATCCAGAAAACAAATTCTGAACTCTGCCAACAGTAGTTCCACATGATCACTGACTACAAACAAGTCAATTAACATTTTAAAGGCTCTGCAAAGCAGGTGCCATGATGCATTTTCAGTGCCACTGTGAGGATGCTCAGGGACTTCTGAAAGCCTATGACACTGGACACCCTGGCCTAAATAGCATAACATGTAGTTGAAAATTGAAATCACATCAAAAAACAGAAGGAGGCATGATCTGATTTAGTAAACATAAGGAGACTGGCAGTTAGAAACACATCTACCCTTATCCAGTATATGTAAGATGACCATTTAAAGTTACTCAACTTTAGATAGCAGAAGCCCCCAACTCCTATTAAGGCTAATGAGCCACAAAGCATTATACCTAAAAACTAAGCCTTATCTTCGGTTAAAAGGAGCCAGCAGCATCTTGACCATAAGAGCAAAGGCAGTGATGTATTCAAAGTAACTTAAACATTCAAAGGTCTGTTCAACATATTTTCTCCATCCTCTTTCTTCTCCAGTGCCTCCTTGAATAAAATTAAGCTCCTGGGAAATTTTATCTTACACATCCAGGGTACTTGTACACTGTTCTGCTGAGAGAGATAAGTACGAAGTCAGAGCAGCAGTCAGCAAAATACATTGTCACAGTGGAAACCAGGGCTGGCTTTTCTGCGAGCTCTCTGAATCGTCTATCTGCATTCCGTGCTAACATGCATGCCCTAGGGGAAAAAATTCTAGATCTAGATTTTTTTTTTTCTTCTCACAAAGACATTTGAGAGAGGAGACTCCATCCAGATTTAATAAAACAGCAGACTGTCTTAGTCTGATAGACTCACCTGATGCAAAAGTGTTTCTCTGCTGCCTTCAGATTGATTCAGCAGCCTTCGAGAGAGCTCCAATTCCTGTTCCAGCTAAGTTCCAACAAGATAAAAACGTGTAAAATGAGGCATAAAATAACTGTGCCCAATGAACAAAATATGCCCAATGGGCCTCAACTTAAGAAGAAAACAGCAAAATAGTTTCCAGGAGATGCTCATAGTGAGTGGGAAAGGGTGGGCATTTCACCATAAACACAAATTTGACTTCCATTAAAATTGTGTTAATTAGCTAACATAAAGGGAGTTGCATAAAGCCTCTGATCCAACCCCCTACCCTCACCACGGGCCTCAATTCATCTCTAAAATAGTCATTTTTAATAGTCTCTTCAAATCCCCATCCAGTTCTTAATAATAAGGAGTGTGGAAGCAAGAGTAGAGTCCACAGAGAATGTCAAGTTCTTTCAGGAGGTAAGGATAGAAAACGGTTACTGGGCTAACATCAGGAACTTTCCTTCCAAGTTCCTTATCTTGGGCTTATCTTAAAACTACTTGTTTGAAAATTGGGAGTTTGTTTGGCCTCTGAATCCCCTTTTAGAGCTAAAGTGCCAGACTCTGTGTACTGTGCTCTCTATGAAAGGGCCTTACCAACTCATGAGAATGCAGGGAGTGGTGGTTTGAGTAAGAATGACCCCTGTAGGCTCCCATATTTGAATGCCTAGTCACCAGGGAGTGGAACTGTTTTGAAGGGTTAGAAAGACTAGGAGGTGTGGCCCTGTGGGAGTAGCTGTAGCCTTACTGGCAGAAATGTGTTACTGGGGGTGGTCTTTGAGGTTTCAAAACCCACGCCAAGCCCAGTGTCATTATCTCTGCCTACAGATCAGGATGCAGAACTCTCAGCTACTGCTGTACGCCTACCTGTATGCTGCCATGCTCCCTGCCATGATGATAATGGACTGTCTGAAACTGTAAGCCAGCCCCTAATAAAATGATTTCTTTCATAAGAGTTGTTTTGTTCATAGTGGCTCTTCACAGTCACAGACGGTGACTAAAACAGAGGGTATTTTCAAAACTGGGCTGCAAAACTACACCTATCTATTATAAAGAAAATGAATACATACAAAATGTCTGGCCTTCACACAGTAGGTCTTTCCTGACTAACCCTTCAACAGTCAAATGTTTTCAGTGTTCTCCAGCAAGGAAATAGAAAGCTTACTCTCAGAAAGGAGAGAGATCCAAGATGACATGGCAGCAAATGAACTATGTGTGCTTTCAAGAGTGAAGGTAGAGCTGTAAACCACCTCTTCCCCCCAGCATGCTCTACAAGGTGATCTCAGGGACACTTTTCACAGTGCTCAACAAGTATCAATGACCCCCAACCACCAAACTGATCCAAAGCTAACTTTCAAGGTCTTACATGACTCTTCTCAGTTTCAGTTTGCCGTAGCTTGTTTTTCATTACGTCCTCATTCTCATCTGCTTTAGCTTCTTGTTTCTTCAGGGCCTACAGTGGAAGCAAATGAGAACAGTATATTATCCCAGAATATGCACGAAGCTCAAAGCTACTACTAGGATGCATTGATGAAGGGCCCAGGAAAATACTGAGTTGCACAAAATCTGCAAATAAATTCCGGCTTGTTCATTAGAAGCCTTAGCAACACTTCAGTGAGGGTCAAATGCAAACAACTTCTTGGTCTTTCTCATCATTTCCACAAGTTTCATAGTTATATAGTCAGAGAGGGTAAACTATTAACAATTGTCTTGGAAACAAAGTTTACTGCACATCAAAGTAATCATCCTGAATGTCGTCTTAGTGATCTGTTGCTGTGAAGAGACACCACGACCAAGGCAACTCTAGAAAGCATTTCATTGGAACTAGCTTTCAAAGTTTCAAAGGCTTAGTCCATCATCATAATGGCAGGGAGGGTGATGGTACAGATGGTACTGGAGATGTAGCTGAGAGATACAGCCAATTAGAGAGACAATGGGCCTGGGCTGGGCTTTTGAAAGCCCAAAGCACACCCCCAGTGACACACTTCCTCTAACAAGGCCACACCTCCTAACCTTCTTCTAATCCCTTCATAAAGTTCCACTCCCCAGGCGACTAAGCATTCAAATAAATGAGCCTATTGGGACCATTCTTATTCAATGGCCACAGCAGGTTACAGAACCTGCTGGATTTACATAACACCATAAACTAGTCACTGGTTTTTCTGGTTCTGAAGCACACCATCCATTACATAAAAACACTCCCCTTGCATCACCATTATGCAGATGACATAATTATACAAAACAGGCCAGACCATCCAAACTCTACTCTACCTGGAGAAACATACCCATTCTTATCTACTTTCCCCTCTTTAATGATAAAAGAAGTTAAAGAAAATTCTTTCAATAGCTAACCACAAAAATGTTTGCCTGGGTTTGTTTTTATGTCAAAAAAAGAAAAAAAAAATTTAAACAAGGGGAAAGAACTTAAAAGAGATTTTTATAATATCTAAGTGGCATTCTGTTCAGATAAGAAAAAAGTTGACCATTTTAGCATTTATATTTGGCAAGATATATGTAAAGGTCATACAAATTGAGGAAATGGAAACTACCTATAAAGTCTTCTCCAACAAGCAACAGGAAATAACGTAAATGTGTTAAAAATCAACTTTGATGTAAATATACTATCATAATCCATTTCATCAACCTACATATTCAAATACATCTTAAATCTACTTCCGGTATATCAATCATTGTTCTGGAAGCCACTAGCATACACAGGTATAAGATACACATGGCCCCACAACTCAGGAAATGAGCTCCCTTCACCATGGCTTCTCCTCACACTAATTAGTAAAATACCATCTAGGCGAAAAGGCGGAGAAGCTTTATCAAAGTACGTAGTAGTTTGCTGTAACAATAAATACTTCTATGGAGATCAATGCGTCTAGGAAATCTTACCTATGTTAAACATGTCACATACATTTAAAGACTATACTTAATCTTCATGATAATAATGTGTGTTAGTAAGCTCATTTTAGCATCGGAATATTGGGACATAGAGAACTAAATAATCGCCCAAGAACACTCTCTAGTTAGTGACAGAGAAAATGAGACTCAGACAGCCTGTCATTTAACCACTGAATGGCACTGCCTTCCTTCTCCATCATGAAACCGTATCTGTCTGACAGGGCTGTGCTGCAGACTAGCTGATACTCATGAAGCATATAAACTAATGCTCGGCACATAACAAATATGCAATAAAAGCCAAAAATTATTATGATTGAATTATTGAGAATGATAAAGTATTAAAATCATAATGCTTTTCAGGTAGCTATGAAGTTACTTGCTCTTTATTATAGAGCAAATAGAATTTACAACAATATTTAATTCTGTATATACAATGTATTCAATTTTGGATGGCGGAATGCATTTATAAATTTTTCAAGAACAAAATCTGAAAATTAATATTGGCACCCTCATCTTTTCCATGACTCCTTGGTCTCTCCCCCAATATCAATCTATCTCTCTCTTTCTGTGTGTGTGAGAGAGAGACAGAGACGGAGACAGAGAGATTTAAAAATGTGAAGGAAAGTGATATAAAGTTGTAACATTTTTAAATACTTTTTATTTAAAAGTAAAACAATAATTTCATATCTATATACAATGTAGTTTTCTTATATCCCTCCCCTTTGATTACATGCCCTAGCTTCCCATATGCTTTTTCAACATGGCTTCTAAAAAATTCTAAACCATCTTATTCCACAATACCTTCATTCTAACTTGGGCTAATCTTGTCTGTTGTTAATAGTTCTTCACTGGATTAAACACCTAATTGCTTTTTAACTGGATGTTTGCACAAAGGGGATGATTAGGATTAAGAAAAGACTTCTTCAGGCCATTGACAAGCTTCATCCAACTATAAACAGCCTCCACTTCTGGATTCAAACCCCTGAGTAGAACCCACTCCAAATGAGCCTGCAGTGAGGGCTACAGTGAGCTTGCAGTGAGCCTGCAGTGAGCCTGCAGTGACCTTGCAGTGAAGGCTGGTCCAGGTCAGGCAAGATCATCTGAAGCCACAACATGAAAAGGACAAAGAGAATAAACAACTCCCAACAGACTGTCCCAGGCACAGGAATCATTCCCTTCCAAAGCTGAGTTCCAGTCAAACTACGAAGATACTGTAACTCTAAGCAGTGGTGTAGGATGAAGTGGCCTTCAGTGCTGCTCGGGGCCCCCTGGCTTACAGATGGAAACAGGAGTCATCATCAGCTGCTGAGCTTCACAAACTGAACCTAACCTCATGCTTCAACTCTGAGTTTAATTTACGTAAAAACATAAACTCCCAAAGTTCCCCAGTGAAGAAATTTTCCAGTTTACCATCTGGAATTTATCCATTTCTTCCCTTTCCCAAGATTTCCAAAAATTAAATTTGAAAAATTGTAACATTTAAAACTAGAAAAACAAGAAAGATATGTTAACTGTTAACATTTTCCAAATGTTTGCTTACTTTAGTGTTTGATCAAGCACACTAAAAATACACACGCATATATATATACACACACATACACACACACACAAACTTATTTAGATGTATTTAAAGACATTTAAAATAATCATTCAAGACTTTATTTATTTCAAAACAATTCTCATTTACCAAGAGGCTTATATTTCCAAAGAGTAATAGAAAGGCTGTCATTTTATTAGCGTGAACTCTTCAGAAGACCAAGACCTTGTCTGTCAGTCACACTGCATTTTTAAGACAGTATCTGGCATATATTAGTTTGTAAAGCATGCTGCTGGCTGCATAAATACTCCTTTATAATCTGATAGACTTTGCCAGGTAGGCCCTTTACATACCAGAAGCCTTCCCAAATTTCCCCCACCTCTGATTTGTTTTTAATTATGTGTATCTGTTTATATGTATGTACAGGTATGTGCAGGCACCAGCAGAGCCCAGAAGAGGACATCAGACCTCAGAGTATAGGAAGCATATAGGCACTTGTGCTCATAGACAGGGGAACCAGGGATGTTAAACATGCAGGGTTGTCTCTCCAAAGAGAAAAGTGTAGAACCTGTTTCCTGTGCAGAAGGAGAGGAATTTGTAGCTGTATGGCTAAGCCACACTGGCTCCCCCAGACCCTTGTATTAAGCCTGTTTATCACAGTCAATCTATGGTGCTAGCCTCCCCCAGACCTTATCATATACATTGTTTACCTTGAGTCGGCTTCCTTAATCTATAGAATGTATCTTTATGGAAGTACATATCTTGTACTTTATAAGAGTTTCAATGTAATCATGTCTCACATTTGTTGTACACATGGGATTGAGTTAATTATTACCAGGTGGGCTTTGAGGTCTCAGTTGCTCAAGCCAGACCCAGTGTGACACTCTCTCTTCCTGTTGTCTGCTGATCTAGATGTAGAACTCTCAGCTACCTCTCCAGCACCATGTCTACCTTCATCCTGTCATGCTCCCAGACAAGACAACAGACTAAACCTCTAAACTATAAGCCACCCCAATTAAATGTTTTCCTTTATAAGTGTTGCCATAGTCATAGTATCTGTTCACAGCAATAGAAACCCTAAGTAGGACAGTCTCCAATCACACCTACTTTCAAAGGGAAAATTAATCTTCACCTCCAATAAGAAAATATCAAGCAATTTGGTTAAATGAGTAAAAGGCACCATTACAGTTTTACTGGGGGGTATTTTGAGGCTATACAAATATAAAGCTTCATGGAATTCTAGCTCAACTCCAAATCCATAGTTCACCATAGTCTTTTTTGCTAACCCCAAAATTTCCCCATCAGAACATACAGTCTAACACCATCCAGATTCCTAGTAAGTTTACTCACAGGTTGTTCCCACTAGTTAATAAAATCCTGAACCTCTTTATACAAACCCAAAAGTCTTTTTTGTGTAAACCCAAAAATATTCATATCAAAATTATTAACGAGTGATCTAGAATTGATGAGAAACTACATAAGTGGATAAAACACACTCATCCAATCCCCATCAGGCAGGTGTTTTCTGAGTTTTCCTAGGGCATTCCAACCACCTGGAATTTACCACCTAATCTCTTCCTTCATATCTAGTCAAGTATGAAGGTTGGTCTCTGTGGCTTGTAACACTTTGCAGCCTTTGAAACCCCACGTGAGTTATGGAGAGCAATCTGCCACTGTCTTAGTTATCTACTGTGAGCATCTAAACTCATAAGCACCCCTCACACTTCAATTTCTCCACTCTGTAAAGAATTCATCACTTAGCAGGCCATATGGAAAACAGCCATCTTCATTCTCACACAAATGGACATTTACTCTGCTTTATGTGTCTCATAATTAATATATTTATTATTCCAGTTGGTATTAGATAAAACTCAATAATCTTAACTTTAATCATGTTATAAATTTAAAACTATCTTTTTAATTCAAATTTCCATATGAATAGGCTTAATTTTAAAAACTCTATTTCTCTCAGATATACAGGAACATAAAATAATCTTGTGTTTCTCCCC